CACACACACACACACACACACACACTTTTTAACAAAATTCAACCCTCACACACAAACATTTCATGCAGCAGATGCTTGATAACTATTCAGCAATCACACTCTCTTCTTTGTCACAAGCGGCACTCTGCATTCACAGCAGCAGGCTGTGTCAGCTCACTAGACGCAGGGATTTTAACAACCTGCTAAATTTGTAAATGACAGACTGTGCTGAAAAATAACAACTGTATTTATGGAGATATCTCTCAACTTGGCACCGCAATTCTCGGCTCGTGGAAAATGCAAGAAAATAATCAGCTCAGAGCCTGTAGCACGACATGAGAAATGTTATCGCTTCAGGAGCAACAGTTTCTCACAACAGATGCAAAGGAAGCTGCGACACCGTGTCAAGTCGTATCAATGGTATTAAGACATGTTGTGGAAAATCAGAAAATATCGGCACGTGACAAAACGTCATAGCTTCTTGTTTAATGTAACAGAACAGACGAACAAGCGTCAAAGGGATTTGGATTACATTTTTGCAGTTTTGAGCCCCGTGCCAAAAATATACCAAACCAGCAACTGGATATTGATCTGTTTGTGCCAGAGGGAAATTAAGAAATTAAAAGGAAAGAAAGATTTTTATGATTTGTTGAAAAATGTTTGAGCTGAATGGGAAACAAAGTGGCTGGAATGGCAGGTTAGAGGACGGCTACCAAATGTCAAAGCGGTGAATTGCGTCGCTGGAGATCACTTTGCCTGATTCCATTCTTGAAATCCATGATCATTTTCAAAATAATTGGTCTTAAAATCCAAAGTGAAATCCAATGCCTGACGTAGTGCCATGAGCAGCTACAGTTGCTAAGCTGTAATTGGACACTTGCCTGTTTGAGTGGAGGAGTTTAGTAAATGGTAAAAGACGTTATTTTAAAGATTGGAGACATCCTTGGATAGCTGTAATTTTTTTTATGCAACTCTTGCGATTTAGAAGTTGACTTTTCTTTCCCCATCACTTCTAATGCTTGAATTTATTAGGAGCCAATTGAATCTTGTGCTACACTGTCAGTACTGTAATTACTTTAAATAGAGCTGTCATGGATTATTAGCTTCTTATAAAGCGGAGATTGTCTTTCTCATATGAAGACCTCAGCATGAGATCGTCTGGTGACAAGTCGTTGCAAGCACGTTCATCTCACCCCCGTGCTGGCGCCGTAGTTGTGCACCCACTGAACATTTTCCTGCCATTTTCCTAAGGGGCTAACAGGAAGAGTTTTCTGGGGAGAAACTAACTCGGACATTTGCATTCTCACATACAGCCTCTTTGAAAGACTTCAGTGCACGTCTGAAAGCAGTTTATGTGACAGGGTTTACCGCCTCAGGTGGTTTAATCTGAACTTTTGTTCAGGTTAAACCAGGAGTTTCGAGTTAATGTGTTTGCAGTTTTATTTTATTGTATAGGCTGAGCGTGGGCTTGGTTCAGTCCTTCAGCTCTTTCACCAGAAGACCAGCATTTTTTCTCTCGGCAAATAGCGTTCGCGATGTATACTGGAAAAGGGCAATTGGGTTTTCTCCTGGCACTCTCCAACTTTCAGCCAGCACTCCATCCTTTCCTGATTTTAGTATTTAACAACAGAATGGAGTTGAATGAGCACTCACTGCTTCCCTGTTCTTTGATAAGTCTTTGTCACTGATTGCAGCTGCTTGGCTCCCTGCAGACTTCAATAAAAGCTTGTACTATTTTTATGCGAGTCCTCATGAGGTTAAGTCACTGACTTATACATGGGATCACATGCTTTTTGAATGTATCTGTACATAGTAGTATGTTTGTGTATGTGTGGATTTGGACCCTTATCAAGCCCTTATAGACATAATGGGGCTCTTACTGCAGGGGCCCGGGACAAGGGGGTCGACTGTTAAAGTCGAGGCATAGCCCTGCAGGATTTCCTCCGTTAACATCTTCCTTGGTGGGGACAGCTTAACACAGCCGTCTCGCTCGGCTTGTTAGTGAAGGGGGGCAGCGGCGGGGCCAGGAGCCCGGAGACTCAGATGACATTTGAGGGAGCCGACTTAGAGGCTGGCCTTTTGAAGAAACAAGCCACAGAGAGGCGGGATCACTAATTAGCCCTCTGCGTCCCCCAAGTCTCGCAACTTACTGTCTTGTTAGATTTCACACCTCAAGTTCAACAATAATGTGAAAGGATAAGATTTAAATTTAACGAGGAAAGTAGGGAAAGGAAATTGTGCTGCCCTTCCTCTTGAAGAAGTTTGTAGTGACTGAATGTGAAACTTACCTCTGTCTGTTAATGTTTTCTTAATATGAGTGGTGGTGGTGCCTCGGAACATGACTTTAAAGCACAATTTAAAATAATTTGAAGTCTATGAACAGTAATGGCTTAATCCCTGCATTCATTAACATTTCTGTGGCTTGTATTTCTGCTTGACCTTAACAGAATTACACCATTCTGCATGAATAGGAATCAGTTCAGCAGGAATGGAGGTGCAGAGGGAGCTTGATAGTGCGTCTACAAGGTGCCGTCCCCTTTTGCAAGCGAGATCTACGATTGGCAGTCGACCATTATCAGCTGTTCGAGCACCACCCGGGTGCACAGATGCAGCAGTCACTGATAGTTATTTTGTTTGTATTTGATTGCGCATGATGCAGACGAGCAATTAACAAAGCAATGTGACACAAGCATAATTCATTCTCCCAGCAAATTATATTGGCTGTTTGATCCGAGAGCTGGTGAGAGGAGGAGGAGGGGGGTATGGTGGCAGGCAGGTGTTCCATCTGCAGCTCTTTGCTTCACTGCCGACATGCTACTGAGCAATGACAACAATGTTAACAGTGTACACCTTCAGTTAGAGGTCGACGTGCAGCCGTCAGCCAGCAGATAATGTGATGATTTGGAAAAACACACCTTGGATGATGTTTTATGTGCACTCTAAATGATAAAGGTTGACATCCTCCCTAACAGACGTGTGTGTTTACAAATTCCACGATGCCATGCTAACATCTATCCATCTTGCACAATCACATCCCCTAAAATCGTCAGTAAAGGACAGCTAATAATATCACTAATGAGCCATATTGAGTTTTACTTTCATGTCGGTGCTCATTTTGTCACACTGGCACACTCCTCAGATGATGGATATCTCACTTGGGAATGAAACTCTTCAAAGTCTGATTACACTCTGCAACTCGGCCAATAAAGTGATCTTCATCTTTCTCTCCCTCTCTCCCCCCCTCAGCTGGCTCAGAGCCACCCAGGCCTCAGCAACCCCCCTCAGCCAAGAGGGACCAGACGTGCATCGTCCTCTCCAGCTCCGTCAGCGAGCCAGAGCTCAGCCTGGGAAAAGCCCAGCCTCCGAAACCCTGTAAAGACAAACAGAGCAAGGAGGGGGAGGAGAAAGGGAAGGATGAACTGCTGAAAGACAAACAGAAACTAGGAGAAGCAGAGGAGGAGGACAAGCGGCAGCTCAAAGGCAAACAATCAGCGGGAGAGCGAAGCGTCAACGTCGCTGGCGCGGGCAGCTGCCTCCCCCCTGACCACACACCGGGTAATCCCACCTGCAATCTTCTCCTTTTCATATCTAGGGAAATTGACTGGTGCTTCATTGTCACCTGCCTATCTAATGCTGTTTAATATCATCACTTCAAACCAATAAGGGACTATATCTCATTCCATATGGGGCTAGGCATTATTATTCTTACTATTATTAGTGTCTAGTTGGGCATATTGCCTATTTCTGCACTGAAGAAGCTCCAGGGGGCAGCTTGTTGAAACAAGTGACCTGTTTGGAGTACCAAAATACACACATTGCTCGATAACTGTCCAGTAGGTAACCGATGAGCTCCTGACTGGCTATTTTTAATAAAGTGAGCCGGTGTCTAATTACATAAAAGGCACAGGTTCCCTCCGTGCAACCTGTTTTCCACGTCCACTCCTGTTATACTTGCACATGTCTGTGAGTCTCTGAGGGATGTGAAGAGACAAATTCCCAATTACACAGTATGTAATATTGCAAATTAAGACCTCTGTGTTCAAGTACTTGCGTCTCGAAGGGATACACAAAGCAATAAATTGCGCTAATTACAAAGAACTAATTACACCGTGTGCAATATGAAGAGCTCTAAAAAAACTGCCAGACTAGCAGAGTCTAAGAAAAGCCTGTGACCTGGGTGTTGCCTCTGAAAGTAGGCAGACATTTTGGGTCAGAGTTATTGAAGGATGAAACTGAGCTGATAGCAGGTACTTAACATAGGAATGAATATTGCCCAAGTCATTTAAGTTTTAACAGGCAAGCTATCAACCCCTACTCCCCTTTAACTTCCTAAGATTAGTGTGCAACAACTTGGCACATATACTGTTCCCTCACACACACACACATACACACTTTGACATCTATTAGTGCCCAGAGATTGTCAAGTGTTTGATTTCATCATCTCAGTAGCTGCATGTGTGCCCCCTAATGGTCGAGGATTGGATCCCTCTGCAGCCTCCCCTGCAGTGCCTTGCGTCTGCCCACACTCAGGCCCAAAAAAATGAGGTTTTTATACTTTTTTACTCTTCTTTCCACCGAGGCAGTTTGAGGGCTGGTTTGAAGACGTAGCCTATTCTCAAATTTTTCCACATTTTCGACAGCCAAAGAGTCAGGGCTTCTTGACCGCAAAAACTGGTTTGTGAGCGACAGCAACACTTTGCTGGTCTAAGAGCAAAGAATTGCTTATCTCTGAGGCTGGGGGGCACGATTATTGTTGTTACTATCTATCAATCTTTCTATCTTTCTATCCGTCCGTCCATCCATATATCTATACATCCATCTATACATCTATCTATGCATCTGTCTTCTGTATAAATCTATACAACTATCTATACATGTAAAATCTGTCCATCCTTTAACCTTGTTGGTGGTTTGTGAGTTTGTTAGTTACATGCCGTTGCCAGTCTGTCTCCGACAGTGTGGGTTTTAATATGAAACACAGCAGTTGTCCAGTAAAAGTGACCTATGGGGTCAGCTGCGGTGTCTAATAATTTTCCTCTACCTGCCTGTGGTTTTAGAAGGCAAACCGCAGAGCTGTCGGCCGCCCCCACCTCTTGATTGCTCTGAGATTACTTTCCTCACTGCACAAACAGGCAATCACTCCCGCTCCACCTCTCCTTCTCCCGCCCTCCTTGCTGTCTGTCGCTCTGTTTATCTGCATGAGCCAAACATTTAAAACGCGGATACACGTTTTCTAGAAGGTTAGTTCAAATGTTTCCAGCAGCATCAGCCGTGCCGAGCGTCTTCCCGTTTGAAGAGTGCAGGATTTTCATATCTTTTGTTTCGATCCTGCAGAAGATGAGATGACTCAGTCCAATTAGGCGTTGTTTTCTTTCTCTCACAGTAAAATAACGGATAAATCCCTGGGGGTGTTCTGAAGGCACTGTTCATACTGTGTAAGTGACAGTCTAATAAGACGGCTTTGTAAGATGAATTGCCCCCATTGTATAAATGGCCCACTTAATGCTGCTGGCGCGTTCCACCACTGCAAACTGGGGACATCGTGGTGTTGGTGGAGGGGCGTGCTTTCAACAAGTATAGGGTGCACATTGCTGAGCTGCAAGGTTTCATAACAGATGAAGGACAGATATATGAGATTTTGTGAAAATCTATCGTCCTGAGAATGTTTTGGTTCCAAGTTTGTAGATCTATGCTTTTGATATTTCCTCACATAAAGGGCCGCATTTCAGCAGACGCACGTGGTGAGATCAGAACAGCATGTGCCAGAGCCAGGAAAATTACACCTAGAAGAATGGCAGGAATAAAAATGAACGATGTGGACATTGTGCGGCATAGGTCAAGAGGAGGAAATTACTTGTTACAATGATCTCAGCTTGAACAAAAAGATTTTTAGCACCGTATTCCATCACAGATATTAGCCAAATCAGTGGTGGAAGCCATCATTAATTCTCAAATATGTGCAGACATTTTAAACATTATCCAGTGTTGAGTTTGAGGCTGTAATAAATAAGAAGACAGAAATGATTGGCATATAAAGGCAATAAATAAGTGAATAAAAAACAAATAATGAATTTATCATAGAATATATTTATAACAGAAATATTAAAGGATGATCATATAAAATATAATATACTGTTAGATCATGAAGAGCTTCCAACTGTTTAATAGCTGCACCTCAACATTAAAACTCTGTTATCATTTCAAACTTTTGGCTTCATCTCTGGATAGTGGGAGGAAATCGAGACGTGTCATCTATCTTTATATTCACTCTATGGTTCAAAGCAGTTGTAATCTTCTCTAATGACATGGTACCTTATAGTTAAAATGTAAGGCTCATTTAGGCTGACAACCTTGGGAGGGATATCTGTCCCAGGATGTTCCTCTGTCATTCACTCGCTGATTTGTCCCATAACCACCAGAGACCGTGTCCAGGTACACGGCAGCCCTTGTTCCACGGAAACAGTCTTGTCACAGACATCCGGCTGTGTGGCTATTTTACTCCATTAGCAAGCCAAATGGACACACACACACACACACACACACACGCACGCACTAGACAAGGCAGACAACTGGCCACACGAAGTGATTTAAGGCAAGTATCATCAGAGTGTTATAGGTCATTGTCTAAATGAAGCGTGGTCGAGCAGCGGCGGTCTCATTTCCACCGCCTGACCTTTTCTTGCTCGATGCTGGCAGGATGAGCAAGCTACACAGCTGACATTAATGACCCGCTATGTCTTTTCTCTCTCTCTGTTTCTCTCCTTCTGTGACTGTCATTTTATCACTCTCTCTCTCTCTGTCTCTTTCTCTCTCTCGCTCTTTGACTTTCTTGCTGTTCATCCCGTTGTTCAGCAAATTCTTGGGCAAACTTGTGAAAAAATAATTTGGAAGGTGTCTGTCAAAGAAATGGGCTTCCTGCGGGGCTGCACTGTTACACGACAAAGTGGAACTGATCTGTTAAAGCTGTACTTAAAAACTAAAGACAAATGAAAAAATTATTTTTAAAATTTCTATCTACAAGTGGCCTGATCACACGAGCATTAAAAATCCATACTATGCGTTGTGTTGTCAAACTAAAGGAGGTATTGGTTTATGACATGACTTGAGGCTTTTGTCAGAAAAACAAAACATGACTCTGCAAATGTATGGCTCATTTTTTCCACCTATTATTTAAGCAGAAACCTGAAACCGATGATCAGCATGTGGTGTGATCTACCAATCAGGTCCAATTTAGGGAGACATCCTGTGTGTATTCCAGTCTGCTGTGTGCTCAGCATTGACAATATGTCAAATATGAAATGATTCCTGACATGGACACTGAAAAGATTTACTAAAAAACAAAGAATAATTAAAGTTATTTGTCATTTTAAGAACTTTTTGTAGATAGAAATTGAACAAATATTTATTTGTGCTGATACTAATTTAAAAAAACCAGGGAAAGTGAGTTGAGACCTCCACATGCAGGTTGGTATGAGGGGAAATTGACTTTCATTTCTATTTATATGAAAATGTCACACATAATTACTTCAACATTTTTATTTCATATTGTAATTATTTGATTCTCGTATCCGAACGCATAAATATAGGATCATACATTCAAATCCATAATGCATATGCATACTCATTTCACATCATCTGCTAAAAATGTCATATCTTCTCAATATTGTGTTCTGTGTAATTACATTTACAAGCTGCTGAAGTTTAATGTCTCTGCTACCCATTGCATCACCGAGCGAGCAAACAGAGGCACCAATAAAGCTGTGAAAGCCAATGATGAGCCGATAATATGTGCTCAGTGCGATATTAATCAGCCTCTTCCCTCCTCCCTGCAGACCGGAGAGCTGCCGTGTGTTTGTCTTCTGCTGCTGATGCTAATGACGACGATGAGGACAATGATGGCGATGACGACAGCGCTACCCATCCCGTCTACCCGGGCTTGCAGTTCTGCGCCAGCCAGTACACAGACCGAATTTATTTGTACTCCAAGGTACTGCAAGAGATTGATTATACATTTTTAATCACGCTTGGACGCAAAGATGTTTTACTCATGCTGAATTGTGAGACACTTGGGTAGTGTGTGTGTGTGTGTGTGT